CTTCACTATAGCTCACAGAATTAGCGGTCACTTTCCCCGGAGCTAAAGGAAACTGTCTTTTATCTCGGGAAAGAAACTAAAAGGAAACCGTTTCTTTTAGCTGAGGGGAAAGTGACAGCCGATTCTCTGAGCTATAGTGGAAAAAAAAAAAAAAAGCTGGTAATTACAATTAAGAACCGGCACTGACATATAGTGACAACCAGTCACTGTATGCACTCTTCCTTCTCCTGCCTTTCTCCGCCACCCCCCTCTCACATCTGCAGTACACACAGTCCCGTGTATCGGAAAAATTTTTCCTATCGGCTATTTTCGGCAGATATGTTTCGGTGGCAGAAATTTCGGTGCATCCCTATTAAATAGAACATGAGATGGGTTCTAATCTTTCCATGCACGATCCAAAAATTGGAATTTTGACTTACCTATATATTCCTTATGCTGGAGTACATCACAGGACACCAGACTTCTACTCCCAGATTATACATTGCATACGGGATACCTTCAGGTAATTGGACACCCACTCTGAGAGACTCTAGTGTTTATGCAAACAATAAGGAGTGAGCCCACAAAAGATGGGAGTGCTGTGTTCTTCACTGTACTCAAAAATGAGGAATTTAAAGGCAGTTTAAAAAAATTCTATTAATTTTAATTCTATAGTACAGAACATAGGTAATATATTCATAGACCATGGGACATCCCCAAGGAAAACTGAAGGATAGGCAACAATGAAGCACCTTGCAGCCGAAGCTTGCATCAGCCATGACCGGAACATCCACCTGGTATAGCCTGAAGAATGTGTGAACGAAGAGACAGGTGTTGTCCTTGCAAATCTGGGATTCTGATGCTTGGTGCTGGAAAGCCCAAGAGACAGACATGGCGGAATGAACTCTGATAGAGAAGGGAGGAACCCTTGTTGTCTGATCCACCTGGCAATAGTGGAGTGGGGAAACAGGATGTCCTCTACGAGGGCCTGCAGGTAAGACAAAAATGGATTCAGTTTTTTTATTAGAAGAGGTGGCTGCCAGGTACACCCTGACAGCCCTGACCATTTCCAAGCAGTGTAGGAGGGAAATATTCTCATTAAGGTGAGAGGGAGAGACCACTGAGGGTATAAAGGAAGGTCTTGGTCTGAAGACCACCTTGCTCCTGTGTAAAATATGAAAGAATACAATTTAAAAGAAAGAGCTCAGCAATGTGCATAACAGGCATAATGAGCACCAGGAAGTCAAATTTACATGTTTAAGTCTTCCAAATAGAATTATTTAATCTGCTCAAAAGGGGGATCTTTGCAACAGATTACCAGGCTAAGATCCCAAGAAGACATGGGGCTGAATGGGGGGTTGAAAATGAAAAAATTCCTATGAAAGTCTTAAGGATTACAAAGCAAGAGGTTTCTGGAAGAAAATGGATAGGTCAGAAACCTGTCCCTTGAGGGTACTCGGGGCAAGACACTGGTTGAAATTTGAAGAGTATTCACTAGGAGTCAGCTTCCTGTACTCACATCATGCAAAGCCTTCCATGTGTGATAGTAGGTCTCACAGGAGACAGATTTTCATGCTCTGTGTAAGGTGGAGATAACAATCAGTGACATCTCTATCCTGCAGGACCTGGGTTTCACATAGCCATGTCATTTAAGTCAGGGACTGAGAAGCAGGATAAGATAGGGGGCCTGGTCGCTGTGAAACAGTTCAAGGCTCATCCACGAGGTGTCCGAGTATGTCTGTGCGCCATGTCTTTCAAGGACAATTCAGAGCAATGAGAAAATTTGAATCCTTTTTCTTCCTCTATCTTGTTCAACAGGTGAGGGAGAATTTTTATTATCAAATGGGAGGCATATACCAGTCTGAATCAAGCCTAAGGAAATCACCAGGGAATCTATTGCGAAGGTGAGAGGATCCCTGGTCTTGGCTACAAATCTGTTCAGTTTGTTGAACAAACTTTCAGGGCATGGGAAGGAATGACTTTTCAGACTCCAGGGCAGAGCTGGAGATTCACCATGCCAGAGGGCACGGTCTGTCTGGACACACGCACAGCAAGATCTAGAGAGTGGATCAGTTTGTTCAATGACCCAGGGGTGTTAAGTTGAAGCAACGTGGAATAAAACTGGACAAATGAAACTGCCTTGAAGGTGGCTACCATTAGGCCCCAAACACTCATACAGAAGCAAACTGAAGGTGCCTTTTGAATCTGAGGGTCCACGTGTGTTTTTTTGGAGGAAGGAAAAGTTTAACGTGGTCTTTGTGCAGGATTAGAACCTGGTGCTTCAAATGGTGTAAAAGGCAGACTTTGGAAAGCTGATTAACCAGATGAAGGTTTAAAGAAACATAATCGTCCTTTTAGACATTGTCAAACGGGGTCATGGCTGAGAAGCCCTTTAGAGGACAGTCATCTAAATACCATGTGACATGAATTGCCCTGAGACCACAGAAGAGCAAGAAGCAGAGCAAGCACTTAGGGAGGAGGGGAAAGCTCAAATGGTAGTGCTACAAATTTGTAAGCAAAACTAAAAGGATTCATGTGAGGGGATGATGAATAGGCATCTTGTATGTCTACTGATGACAGAAATGCACCTTGTCTGAGAAAAGCAAAATGTCAGATCTTGCTGATTCCATATGGAAATTTGGTACCCAAAGAAATCCAGTTAGAGATTTTAGGTCCAATATGGGGTGAACGGCCCCATTTGGTTTGGAGACTGTGAATAGGTTTGAATAAATACACTGGAGTCTGACTTTGGAGAGGCTAGTACAACCACGCAAACTGAATTAAGTTAGCGCAAGGTGGCCATTAAATCTGCTTGTTTTTCAGCAGATGTTGACAAATTGGAGGGCAGTAAGTGATGTGGGGTGGAGAGTAAAAATCTACTTGGTCCAATATGTCATTTCAAAAAAGGTACAAAGAGGTCAGGGATGTCTCGATCAGACTGGCGCAAATGCCATCAAACTACCTCCCACTCACAAGGCTTGGGTAGCAGTATTGGTTCTAGTGGTGCTGAAAGTTTTGCGAAGAATTCACACATAGTGGCAGAGAAATCTGCTTTTGTTAGATAGGCTGCATGATGGGTGCCTGAGATGGAGCTAGTATCAGAAGAAGGGAGCGATGTCACAATAGGACATTGCTCCGGGAAATAAATTTAACACTCTGCAGCATTCTGGGTTTCCTATAGGCCATTTGCCCTTTTGCCCATGGTCCCTTGTACCTGTGATCCAAGTTGGGTACTCACAAAAGAGTTGCAGAAGGAATAGGGTTTGCATGTCCAGGATGCAGGAGCAACTATAACCCAGGCACTTACCAAGTTCATGTTACTGTATCTTTGTAGGAGGAAGAAGGAGATAAATTGTGCTGTGTGTATTTTTCAGCAATTTCGGTGGGTAAAAGTGCATCAGTCAAAGTGTGTCTGGAGACCATGTCGTCATCATCACACGTCTATGTCCAACAAGGAGTACTGATCTGGAATTGCTAGACATCCTAGGGCAATAAGCAGTCAGAAGTTGACAGAAGTGTCAGAAGAAGAGAAAAGGAATAGTTCAAATGAAAGAAGAAAAAATACAACTGTAAAAAGAAGAGTTTCTTCAGTTAAGGACACAGGTCTGGGTGGTATTATATAAGTGCAGCAGGAGGGGACCTTGCAAAGATATCTGCCAATGTCCAATAATCTGCAGGTTAGCCTCTATATAACCCATGGTCTATGAATACCAGTCCTGTATCATGTACTGAACGATTAGGATAAAAAGGTTTCCTATATAGTTTAAAATATACGATTAAAAAGGGTTTTGTCAATTCAATAAGTTAAAAAAAAAAAATAATGCAGATCCTGTCAGAAGTCTTGTAAGCTACAGGGATCCTGTCAGAAGTCTTGTAAGGCACCCCCAACATTATGTAGAAAGGGGGGGGGGGGGGGCTCTGTAACCCCCAAAACAACACTGTTCTAGATCAGGGGGTCTCCAAACAGTTGGGGGGGGGGAAGCAACCTTTATTAATGCCTCAGCTGTATTTGGGATGCATTTGCTTGTTTTACTGAAGTTCTCTGTTCTGAATCATACTATGCTAACAAACAAATGTGTTCACATTTTATTAATTAAAGTGTTACTAAACCCACAAAAGTAAAATCAGTCTGTATATGCAGTGAAGCATGCTTCTTACACTCACTGTGGAGCCTAAGGGGCTAATATTCCGCATTGTATAAAAAGGATGTTTGATCCTGTCTTCTCTGAGCCTCCCCTTCTACCCCTTCAGCCATCTGCTGATCGAACAGAGCCTTGGGGGCTAGCTGCACATGCTCAGTTTGGTGTGTATTGCTAGAGTTTTTTTTTTCCTTGGGAGAGTGCACGTGATCAGCACAGGGCCGATCAGCACGGTCCAGGCAGAGGGACAGGGTTATGCAGCCTCATAAGACAATCGGGAGAACAACAACTACTCCTACAAGTTTTAACCAGTGCTCTGCTGGACACTGATAGAAGTCACAAAACTGCTATAACTGCTGATGAGAAAACAGCCTTTATAATTGCATTTCCATGTTCTGTGTACTGTGGGAGACCAGATATAGTGAATGCAGTGTCCTGGGTTTAGGAACAATTTCATTTATTAAACTGATTTTTGCAGCCTACGATGTGCCCCTAGTACTGAAAAACTTTGGAGACTCCTGTTCTAGATTAATAAGGCCACTCTCCTCCATAGATACAATATTGCGAGCGAGTGTTATCGTAGGACAAAAGGTTACTGGTAGCATTATCATTGTGGGGGTTTTGGGGGTTAAACGAAAAAAAAAAAAAAAAAAAAGAAGAAAAGAAAGAAAAGCTAATGCAGCCGCAACATCTATGAAAGCGCAAGCTGAAATTCAGTTTAGTTCTTGGGTTTAGATGCACTTTAAAATTTGGAACGGCCCCAAGATTTTAATTTAAAATAGAAATTCATGTTGAACAATACCAAACATAAAAATTCCAGATCAGTACACCTGAAAAAAATAAAAATGAATGTCTCTTGTTAAGTGATGTTATTCAACATACCTGAGATTTGTTGTTGCTGTTTGAAGAACTAATGCTCTGGTTAGGTTGTGATTTGCTGATGGTTTGTGTTGAGCTGGTGCAGGATTCCTGAGGGCCCATACGACTATCGTTTGCTTGCCGACAACTTGGCTGCTTTGATGTCTTGAATGGGGTTCCGTCTGAGTCCTGAATGCATAGACGTTTAATGACTTTCTTCTACGGGAGACACGTGGTGTATCATGCAAGGAAATTTGACACTGCTGGTTATGCAGCAGCCCTTATAGTACACAACCTTAACTGCCATAACATGCAATATGACACTCGACTACCATTTTGAAATTTGCAAAAAACCTTAAAAAGGGGTAACCACTTTCAAAAAGGATCTTTTAGATTTGATTATTCCTTTAGACTTACAATTTTTTTTTAAGGAATAGGACAGGCATCTGATGTGTTTACTCCTCACATATAGCTGAAAACTTGAATAAAAAAAAAAACTTGACCACAGATTATCCTTATTCTGTAAATCTCCACAACAGCACCACAGTAATCTCCTCTCAGTCAAAGGATAGGAAAACAAGAGCCACCACATTCTACCATGTGTATTCCAAATAACATAACTAAAGAAGAACTGCTAAAATGCAATGCTTAAACCAAGTTAAATAATGAGGCTAGGAGAGGGTAATACATGATTATGTCATGGAAATGCCATTAAAGAAATAACATGCATTTTCCTATGTAGCCCCAAGACACCCCTTAAGAGATGAAACCATCAGGCTGGAACAATACGCAGCACATACAAAATATATAATAGCACTTTAAGACCTTAAACAGGATCTTTACAGGACTGTATATTCAGGCACTGGTAATTTGCAAAAGGTATAGTCAAATCTGTGCAATAGTTAACTAAATCTTGCCTCAAGCAAGAACTTTCTAAACTCAGGAGACTTAAGTTTGACAAACCCTTCTAAACTTTCTAGACGGACTTTGACCTCCCACCCTGAAGCACAAGAATTATTGTCCTTCTGAAAACAACTTGTGTAAAATATGCTCTCATTTTCAAGAGAATTTGGGAAAAAAAAGAAAAAAAAAAAAAAAAAAAAAAAAAAAAAAAAAAGAGAAAATCTATTAATCCAATTCTTAAAAAAAAGGATTTTTTTTTTTTTTTCCTTACAGCGGGCCTGGCTGTATTAGCTATCCAATAAATCTGAGGATGCAGGTATATTCAGGCAATTTACGGTACAAAAAAAAGCAAAGTTACAGCAATTGGGGATCTACAGTATATTTACTAAAGCTAGCCATAGATTGTTAGATTTTTTTTTTCCCATTCATCTAGATGTCCCCCATCCATCCACAATAAGATGAATGAAGCAACTAAAGTATGAGATGAAGATCAGGCAACTCGTCCGCCAGATAAATATACTTTATTAATAAAGGGTACAGTGCAAATTACAGCAGCTTACGTGCTTCGGTAAGAAAACTTATTCATAGCCAAGCAAATGAGAAAACAATCCTGCCGGGACAAAACATTTCTAGCATGTCCCTTTGACAGAAGTTGATCAAAAGCACAAGCACAGACAGCCAGACACGGCTGAACTGGCCAAACTTCAATTCGTGTATGGCCAGCTTAGGTTTTTGTTCTGAACAATAGTCCATTTCTTACCAGCAATTTTTATTAACGCCATGTAAATGCTTCCAGATTTCTGGTCATTAGAAGCTCATCAATAATTGCCTGGTTCCTATGATCTATGGCCAGACTAGCTAAGACTGAAAAGGATTTTAAACAGATGGGCTACAAAATAACTTTCCTTATTTCTAAAATTTGGAAAAAAAAAAAAAAAAAAAAAAGTTTCCCTGGTGCCGAGATGTTAGTATAGATAAATATATCAGCCCAGGTACCAAAAATTGTAGCTGCCACAGGCATGCCTTGCAAATTAAAGTTATTTAAAGCACTAATAAACGTAAAACCAAAAACGTAATGTAATAATTGCAGCTTGCCAATCATTAGATGACGTAGTGGAATTTTTCTTTTAGGCTTTCCCCCCCCCCCTTTCCACATGATGATCTGGCCAGTAAAACCTCCTGTATTAGCATGCCTCTATTCTGAATGAAGCAGCACAGGGGCAACCTTTGGACAGAAGCATTGTTAATCTAGGGAAAGGGGAGCGTTATTGAATCTAAATCTGCTAGTTCATCTAACAAAAATCAAAGCTCAACTCCAGCGAGCACTTTTTAAGCAGTTACAGTAACAAGTTTTTTTTCCTTTTGATAAAAGGGTCGCATAACAAAGCTAATCGTTGCAAGGACCCCAGTCATTGGTTAAAAAAAAAAAAACAGCCATCACATCTAAAAAAAATTGGTAAACTGTACTATAATAAATGTTTACTTCTGGATTTAAAGTATAACTAAAGGCAAAAATTAACTACATGCATTTCAGCAGCATCTCCATTGAACTCGGTTGCAGCATAAAAAGCTGACTTTTGCATTTTAAAAAGTCCCTGACCCTTCCCAAGAAGACATGAACATGTCTCAAAGGAAACCATGTTACATTTCTTTAGTCATTTCCTGGTTTCTGGCCTAGGCCAAAGATGACGACATAAATCCCAGGAGTCTTCATAAGCATTTTTATTTCCTTTAATCTCGAGGAGGGGCTGTCTCAGCAAAGCACACTACCCTGCCTACATGTCTGAGCCTGCAGGAGGAAGGGTGTGGAGGACAAATGGATTCCAGGAAAAGATGCTACATGAATAATCAGCCCTTACTCAAGATGGCTGCAGTTGGAAATGCTAGGGGGTGTTTTTTTTCAAGTGATTTCTCAACAAAGAAAGGCCTGGATACATGGATGGGTAAGTTTGCTTTGAATATTGAAAACAAATTAAAATAGCGGTTTCGGTTTGTGGTGCTCAGATATAGTTACGTTTGTTTTAGGCTAGCCATACAAACCAGTAAGACATTAACTGGTCAGTTTACCCAGTTTCCCAAAAATTAAGCAATGTATTATCCATCAAATTATTTAACCAAGCCATATTCACTTATTAGGAAATTATGAGCTACTGGCCATTAAAATTAGTTTCACTAGACAGATACACCCTGTAAAGGATGCACTCCAGGACAGCATCACTTTTGACTATTAGGAGAATACTGGTACCCCACCCACAGAGGTTTCCCAGAGTGAAAACAAAAAAACTTCGAATTGCCAGAAGCTCTAGCTAGTACATAAAATATTCTATCCATCTCAAAACTATCTGTGAAGGTAGGTCTCAGTTGCTGCACTTGAATGAAAGAAAAAAAAACAAGTCTCATGGGACAAACACAACTATCCAACTTCAACAGCAAGGATGAAGTAATTGCAGGGTCTGGTGTCATGATAGATTTCTCTGTGTCTGTTTTTTTGCAAGATTTCTGCCACTTTAGCAATAGATGAAAAATTACCAGTTTTCGAATCAGATGACAAAAACACGTTTACTATAAGAAGTCTGCTTTTATGCCATTAACTGCCATTAGACGGCGGTCAGACATAGAAGTAGGATCTGGCTACCTTGGGGCTTGCCTATTAGCCAGTTAGGACATACAGACACATGCTTGGTTCAAAAAGTACATGTGTACGTTTCATGGAGGCAGGAAGTGAAGCTACCAGATGCTATTAATGGGCAATGATCATATATACAGCCAGCTTGCAAGAAAAGACTGGAAAATGACTGAATCAGAGAGTAAAGCAAACTGTACCAAATGTCACTGTAATCCACAGCTTTATAACAGTCTATGCAGCAATTGTTTGGGAGATGGTTTGAGATCTAAAAATGTTACCCTTTTTGGTCAATATAAATAAAGCTTTTTGAAAGTGGAAACCCCTTTTAAAGGAAATATGGGTCTGATCAGCGCAAAATATATTTCTCAGTACTGACAAAGGCTAATGCTTCATGCTCTCAGTAAAGGCTTGAATGTATTAATCACCTTTAGCTGCAGAGAACTAAATTTAATAGTAATGTACCAACATATATTTGATCAACTACCATGCACATACACAACATAGGTCGCCAAGACCCAATCAAATGTTGCATGACTTACCACATCACTAGAGCTGGATAGTGTGGAAGAAGAGGAAGACAAAGGACCAGATGAATTGGAGGAGTGTTTGCCAAGAGCATCAGAGGTTTTATTCTTGACTTGTCCAAGCGGAGTATTCTGACCAGACACATTGTTGTTACACTTGTCTAAATGATGAACATCCACTATTAAGGTAACATCATTTCCTAGACATGATTAAATGCAAAATAAAAAAAAAAAAAAAAAAAAAAAAAAGATTCAGAATCCACAATGTTCTAAACTTAAGAGACAACAACCCATAAATAAGGCTCTGATAAATCTACAAGATCAAAATATTTTATTTACACGTCAGTTCAGTATAAGTCAAGACCAACGGTTCAACCTTGCCTTACCAGAAAACCTATTAAAACAGACTAGTTGCTTTCCCTCGCTTCTAAGGGCACGTTCACACATGTGTTAATATCATGTTTATGCAGCATTTATTCTATATTTCTAAAGCCTTATAAACACTCTTTAAAGAATGCAGAGTTGTGTTGCGACATTTTAAAATTTAAGCAGCATGATGCTTTCATGAGTCATCAATGCTTATCAACTGCCTCCATTGATTTCAATGGTGATGTCTAAGAACAGCACACAGAGCTTTTACGATGTGTTAGTGAAGCATTTATGAAGTATTAGCTGGGCTTTGGGACAAAGACAGTAGAGGTTCCTGTATCCCAAAACACAGTGGGAAATAATAAAGAACAAGGACAGAGCAGCTCCAGTCACTTCTGAGTAAAGAACAACCGTGTGGTAACTCCATTTACTCCTGCGTGCGGGCAAAAAACATCAACCAACCAGCAATACTGACAGTGCCAGGTAGGAAATGTCAAAATTATAATGTGTCCCTGCACAGCCAAAAAAAATTATTGTTATATATACTAAGCAGCTGAACACAAGGAGTAATCCACAAAAAAATCCAAATACACCAAATGAATATAAAGATTAAGAAAAAATAGCAGTGAGCGCTAATCCTGAAAGCGGCTAGGCACTCTAAGCAACCAATAACACTTAAAAGCAATAGCATAAAAATAGTGCAGCGCTGAAAATAATGACAAAATGACAAAAAAAGTAGTCCACTAAAAGTCTATGTCATATAAACGTATCCAGTGTCAGATGTGGATTCAGAATAGGTGATCCGTGTGGAAATGGCTGGAAAACGCACTCACCAGAAGTAAGACACATAAACGCAGTGTGTATATAAAGCTCATGGATCTTCAATCCAGAGGGAAGTAAAGCTGATCCGGTTACAGGAATGGTGGATCCCTCCTCCGCAGATGCAGCAACAGATCTTCCTTAACACGATTAGATGTAGAATTCCAAGACCAAGGTTCTGCAAGCAAAAGCTCCTCAAGGGAGTTTTAGGGAAGGACACCCATAGTGAAGTAGGTAATAAAAGGCAGCTTTATTCACAATAATGATATCCAATTCAAAGCAGGCAAGTATCATACAGATGTGTCAGCAAGACAACTAACCCTGGTACTTTGAATAGTGGCCGCCGGGCCTCCACGTGGCACCGGCGGCGTAGCGTCTCGACGTCCAGGCTCCTCCTTACGCGTTACGTGCGCACGCACATCTCCAGAGGTATGGAATGGTTCCATACCTCTGAAGATGTGCGTGCGCACGTAACGCGTAAGGAGGAGCCTGGACGTCGAGACGCTACGCCGCCATGCCACGTGGAGGCCCGGCGGCCACTATTCAAAGTACCAGGGTTAGTTGTCTTGCTGACACATCTGTATGATACCTGCCTGCTTTGAATTGGATATCATTATTGTGAATAAAGCTGCCTTTTATTACCTACTTCACTATGGGTGTCCTTCCCTAAAACTCCCTTGAGGAGCTTTTGCTTGCAGAACCCTGGTCTTGGAATTCTACATCTAATCGTGTTAAGGAAGATCTGTTGCTGCATCTGCGGAGGAGGGATCCACCATTCCTGTAACCGGATCAGCTTTACTTCCCTCTGGATTGAAGATCCATGAGCTTTATATACACACTGCGTTTATGTGTCTTACTTCTGGTGAGTGCGTTTTCCAGCCATTTCCACACGGATCACCTATTCTGAATCCACATCTGACACTGGATACGTTTATATGACATAGACTTTTAGTGGACTACTTTTTTTGTCATTTTGTCATTATTTTCAGCGCTGCACTATTTTTATGCGAATATAAAGATTGCACATTGCCAGAAGGGAGACTCCCTAAAGCTAAAAACATTCTTCAAATTTTTTAAACAAATCAACATTGTTCAACACAACTATATATGAATATTACAATGTTAAAAAAAAAAAAACCACAACACAGTATGCACACGCAAAAAAAACCTACTTTGCGTCAGCCACTTAAGATTGGTGATGTGCAGTGACATCTTCCTTGCAGGATAAATATAAAGATAGCTTTTCAGTGCTAAAATTGAGACTCCCTAAACCTAATGCCCTGTACACACGATGAGAATATTGGACAAACGATCGGCCGTTTTTTTTTGCCTGCTAGTCTCACATCGAAAGTGAAAAGATTACTAAAGATACGAAAATTCTCGTATGAAAGAAAAGCATTTCGAAAGTGATGTCATGTATTGCGTTGTATTTGTATTGTATTTTCAGACTACTGTACTGATTAAACGAAAATCGTACGATCTGGTATCGTATGAGAAAAAGTTTTGCGCTTGTCCCTTAAGATATTGTCGTACGAATTGTCGTGATCGGCTCTCAAAAGCTGTGTACTAACGATCCGATTATCGGACGATCGGTCCTCGCACGAAAATTTTTCGTACGATTTTCTTTTAGGGTGTACGGGGCATAAGAATGTTATTATTTACACACTATAAACAAACGGCATGTGTTTCAACACAAATATACATGCTGAAGCTGTGCCTAGGGCGTAACGTGTAAGGTGGAAACCAACATCACGCTCGTCAGATACACTAGATAACTACTGTTTTTGAAAGAGTAGGTTCACCGACGCTCTGTGCATGCTTACGGCGATATATAGTGATTTTAATGTGAGTATATTACATGCTATTTTAAATATACTATTAAACGATACAAGTATCCCAAACTATTATGACAAAAAAAAAAAGATCTGGCAACATGTCACCAAGTGGATATTATCCTTAGACTGGGAAAAACGGATGTCCAGGGAGCAGGAGAGCAAGAGTGAGTATGATTACATGGCTGCCTTTTGTTTATTATATATAATTATTGTAATAAACCCTAAATCAACATATCAAATTAGATAATTTCCTCTATATTAATGCCCATGGAAGTGTTGCTTTTCTAGAGGGAATTTATTGAGCATTCTTGAAGAGTTTTTAACACTTCATAAACACAACAAAAACGAGTCACAAACACATCACAAATGCCATAGGAGTGTTAATGAGCACTGCTGCATTCTTCATAATCAAACACACATGTTAAAAAGCCCTCCAGGTGACAATACGACCCAGGAAAACCTGACATATTTCTGCTAACAGTTTCAGCAATCAATATATTCTCTTGAACATGATATATCTGAAAAGACACTGACCCTTAGAAATATTTGCATTCTTTCTTGTTTTTCTACATAATAGAGATTTATAACATTTTGATCATTCTTTTGCTGGTTATGCTATTAGTGTTGCAATCAGAAAGTACAATCTAACTACAATCTACCGTAGAATTACCAGAACAATGTAATATAATGACCTAATTAAACTATAGAAACAATTTGTATCTAATTATGCAGGTCCTTATACCACATAGTTGCTAGCAGATCTAAAGGAGATTGTACAAGCAGATTTTAACTTGTGTGGTTAACCCTGTATTGGTACCCTCATGTGCTAGGTTGGTTTCCCTTATCTAAAACAAACTATATACATAAAATTTCTCTTGCAAGTCTGCAGACTGAGCAAGAGAAAATTACTCTGATCTCCCCATCCACGCTACACCGTAACAGATGGAGGATACTCCACTGCTGGCAATTGTATCTGACAGCCACACCACGTGCAGTTGTTTTGCCACTCAAAAGGTGACTACATTTGATGGGATGCAGTCACTGTTAGGACATCGATTTTTCAACCAGCTGTTGATTTTAAGTAGACTGTTGAGTTAAGGTAGTGCTGACAAGGTTACCCATGAATCGAATTTTGGCTGATTCAGCAAGAATTGTGGTGCGGCTAGCTTATCAGGTCCCAGCCACATATGCGCTACACTATTAAAAGGAAAATGTGAAAGGTTTACTATGCTTGTGATTTCAAATGCACCTCATTTTAAAACAATTTTGTGCTTTTTAGTTAGACAGCATAACAGAAAAAGGATCACATGGACAATACCTATTTTGCGAATTATATTCTAAACTTGGATAAACTAAAGAAAATAAAGAGGTATTACCATTGTATACTGGTTCAGATCTATTTTTCTGCCCCCATTTCTTTGATATCCAGTCTCTGTAAGCCACCACTTCTTCAGTTACTCGAATAATACGCCCTAAAATGCTGTAAAACAGATGTATACACTGCTTACTGGTCTAACACATAATTAAAGTGACACTAAAGCTTTGTTTTGTTTTTTTTCTAAAATAAACAGGTCTATACTTACCTGCTCTGTGCAGTGACTTTGCACAGAGCAGCCCTGATCCTCTTTTTTTGGGTCCCCCTCCGGCGCTCCAGGCTCCTCCTCCTTGAGCAGTCAAATTATTTGATTGAAATCTTAAAGAACTGTACTTTCAATACAGTTATCCTTAAACTGCTCCTCACAAATAGTCCAGCAAGCCTGCTGCCAACCTGTCATGATCTACAGAGATCTTTGGTTTCTTGGTTTAAAATTTCCTGGTCTAGTTGTGTTTGCGCAGTAGACTCCATATTTATTACTACGTGAAGGCCATCAATCCTTGGTCTTAACGGACAACCTTCCTGTAGAAATGTCTCTACCAGCATTCAAAAGTATGAAATAACTAAGAATTCAATTTTCTTAGTATCAAGGTGCCACTAAAATTATTTGATGATATAGCCTTTTAATTGAAGAAAAAAAAAAAAAACAACAGCTCAGGGCCTTCCCCAATTTATTGCTGCCTGGGTTAATGAAATTATCAGTAGCTACCAAAAATGAGCATTCCTATGAGATCCCAACTTGTTAATGCTACAGTACTAAACTTTCAAACAGCTCATACATAAAACTTTAAAGCGGTATTAGACCCAAAAGAAATCATATTGCAGCTGACTAATTCTTAGATGTGGCGGATGCATTGGTTTTCGTTTTTAGGTTTTCTTGCCTTTATTTTACCCTGGTGAACCTTCTACGCAAAGTCAGGCTTCCATGTATGATGGTAAATCTTACAGGAGTTGGATTTTCTTGCTCTGAATAAGTTTGGAATAACAGAGTCAAATATAACCCTATCTTCTAAGACTTGGTTTTCAACAGCCATGCTAGTAAAGACAGTGACTGAGTAACCAGATGTAGTAAAGAGCCCTGGGCCAGCAGGTTTGCTATGTTCGGATGAGGCCAAGATTTGTCCACCAAGTATCTGAGTTCAGTGTACCATATTATCTGGGCCAATTTGGAACAATGAGAATCACTAAAACCCTTTCATTGTCTAGCTTACAAAGCAGTCAAAGGTAGGTTCTTCACGAGAGTGAAAGCATAAACCACCTTGAATTAAGCCCCGAGGTACCAGAGCATCTACTGCAAAAGCAAGAGGATCCCAGGTCTTGGCAAAGACCACTCGCCAGGTCTGTCCGTTGGTGAGTTAAGACTTCCACCTGCCAATTGTCTACTCCAGTGATGTGTGCAGCCAAGAGAGCGGGGATACAAGTTGCCGCTCCACTGTAACAAATCTGATGGCTCACAGTTACAAGATGTTGATGGGAAATTTCAACTTCTAATTATCCCTCCAGGGATCCCTACTACCCCACCAGGGATAGCACAGCCACCATCCCACCAGGGATCCCCTGCCCTCCACCCCACCTGGGACTACCAGCCACCTCCCACGGCGTTTCGGACACTGCTTCGCCATCCCTGACCAGCACCCCCTCACCCACCCCGACCCTTCCTGCACCCCGCTCACCCCAACATGCCGCCCGCGCTCCTCCTCCTCCTCGTCCTCCTCTCCTCCATCCCTAAAACCGCCTTCCTCTACCCACCCACCCCCGCTAAGCAGCTCTATATCGCCCCCTCACTTCTCCCCTCTCCCCACTACGGCACCCACCACCTCCTCCTGCTACTCCACTTCCCCGCTGACCCACTTGCCACCTTTCAGACCCAAGCGCTCCTACACCTCCCGTTCCCACGCCACCTTCCTCACCCTCCTCCTTCTCATATCAGCTGGGAGACATCTCCCCGAACCCTGGCCCCTCACCACCTCACCCCCCCCTAGAGCCCCCCCCTGCTCACGCCAGCCGACACGACCCCCTCAACCTCATACATGTACCCCTCCTCCCCATATCTATCCCCCCTCTCTCTCGGTTGCACTCCTGAATGCCCGTTCGGTTTGCAATAAGCTTACCGCCATCCATGACCTCTTAATCTCCCGCTCCCTCAACCTCCTAGCAGTCACCGAAACCTGAGTACAGGCCACCAACTCCACTTCCCCTGCGGCACTCACTCATGGAGGTCTCATCTGGACCCACTCACCAAGACTGAGCGATCGCAGAGGTGGTGGTGTCGGCTTGCTCCTATCACCGCTTAGCACCTTCCAGGTCCTCCCTAACCCACCCTCTCTTTCCTTCCCCTCCTTTGAGGCGCACTGCATCCGACTCTTCTCGTTCCCACCCCCCTAAGGATCGCAGTGATCTACAGACCTCCTGGGTCCATACCCCACTTCCTGGACAACTTCGCCGCCTGGCTCCCCTTCTTCCTCTCCTCTGAGCTACCGACCATCATCCTCGGGGACTTCAACATCCCCATCAACGACAACAACCCGGCCACTTCCTAATTCCTCCACCTAACCTCCTCCTTCGCGCTCACACAGCACACTCAATCCTCCACCCACTTCGAGGGGAACACCCTGGACCTTATCTTCTCCCACCTCTGTACCCTCAACCAGTTCTCTAACACCCCCTTCCCTCTCTCCGACCACCACCTCATCTTCTCCATCTCCCCTTCCCCCAATTCCCCCCCTCAAAAACGCCAAACCATCACCAGCCGCAACCTCCGCAACCTGAACCCGGCCCCCCTCCACTCTGCCGCCGACCGCCTACATGACAGCATCCTTCCACTGTCATGTCCTGACATAGCCACCACCTTGTACAATGACTCACTGTCAGCTGCCCTAGACTCTCTGGCACCCCTAACCACACGCATCATCAAACCCAGACCGCTTCAACCCTGGCAGACCGACAGCACTAAACGCCTCAAACATCGCAGTCGCGCACTGGAGAGACTGTGACGCAAAACCAGGTCCCCTCATACTTTCTCCCTCTACAAATCTGCATTTCTTATCTACACCTCCTCCCTCCACGCCGCCAAGCAGGCCTACTTTGTTAACCTAATAAACACCCTCTCCTCCTGCCCCCGCCGACTCTTCTCCACCTTCAACTCCCTGCTCTCCCCCCCCCCTCCTCCACTCAGTACCTCTCTCACCGCCCACGAGCTTGCCACCCATTTCCACAACAAGATTGACGCTATCCGTAAGGACATCGTCAACTTGCAATCTACCTCCCCACCTAGCCTCCTCACCCCCGTCACCCCCTCATCTCCCCCCTCCTCTGCCCTCACAACCACACTGCCCCCCACCTCTCCCAATGCCCCGCCCACCATAACCCCCCCCCGCACTGCACTCCCTCAGCCCTGTCACTACTGAGGAAGTCGCCAAAGTCCTCTCAGAAGCCCGCCTCACTACCTGCCCCCTGGACCCTATCCCCTCTCAACTCCTCCGGTCACCCCCCGCCTCCCTCATCCGCTCCCTCACCCACATCTTCAATCCCTCCCTCTCTACTGGCGTATTCCCCTCCCCCCTAAAGCACGCGCATATCACCCCCATTCTCAAAAAGCCCTCCCTGGATCCCACGGACCCCAACAACCTCAGACCCATCTCCCTGCTGCCACTCACCTCCAAGCTCCTTGAACGCATAGTCTACGATCGCCTAAGCTCCCACCTTACAGACAATAACCTCCTTGACCCTCTACAGTCCGGCTTCCGTCCCCTACACTCCACTGAAACTGCCCTCCTCAAAATCACTAACGACCTACTAAACGCCAAAGCCAAGGGCGACTACTCTGTCCTCCTTCTCCTGGACCTCTCTGCGGCCTTCGACACAGTTGACCACCCCCTCCTCCTTAATAAACTACTCTCTCGCCTTGGCATCAGAGATACTGCTCTCTCTTGGTTCTCATCCTACCTATCCCGACGCTCCTTCAGTGTCACCTGCAATGGTGCCACCTCCCCCTCCCTCGGCTCTGTCCTTGGACCCCTTCTCTTCTCCATCTACACCTCCTCCCTGGGCAAACTCATACACTCTCACGGCTTCAACTATCACCTCTACGCTGACGACACCCAAATCTACCTCTCCACCCCTCTCCTCACCCCCACTATATCCGCCCGCATCACTCACCTCCTAAATGACATCTCAGACTGGATGTCGCTACATTTCCTCAAGCTCAACCTCTCCAAAACCGAGCTCCTCGTCTTTCCCCCTGCCAAACCCCCCCCCCCCCCCCATCCTATCCATCATCACCAACAACTCCACTATCACTCCCGCCCCGCAAGCCAAAGTCCTTGGCGTCATTCTTGACTCGAACCTCTCCTTCCAACCGCATGTCAAATCACTCACAAACACATGCAGGCTCCATCTTCGCAACATTGCCAAGATACGTACCTTCCTCACCCTTGACACCACCAAACTTCTAGTACACTCCCTCATCATCTCACGCCTTGACTACTGTAATTCTCTTCTCACCGGCCTACCCAAGTGCAGGCTCTCCCCGCTCCAGACCATCCTGAACTCAGCGGCTAGACTCATCCACCTCACCACCCGCTCCACCTCTGCCACCCCCCTCTGCCTCTCCCTCCACTGGCTCCCCATTGCCCAACGCATCAAATTTAAACTCCTAACCCTGACCTACAAAGCCGTTCACAACACTGCCCCTGACTACCTCACCAACCTGATCCCCAAGTACCGCCCTATCCGTACCCTTCGCTCCTCACAGGACCTCCTATCCTGCTCCCTGGTCTCCTCCTCCCATGCACGACTGCAGGACTTCTCCAGGTCCTCCCCCATCCTCTGGAACTCACTGCCCCAATCCATCAGACTGTCGCCTTCCCTCCTCACATTCAGGCGCTCCCTCAAAACCCACCCCTCAGCCACTTCCTACTGTACCTTTACCCCCTCCCACCTAGATTGTAAGCTCGAAAGAGTAGGGCCCTCTTACCCCTCGTACGTTGTTTGTTGTTGTACTGTGCCATGTATTGTCCCCCCCTCTATTGTACAGCGCTGAGCAAACCCTTTGGCGCTATATAAACTCGTAGTAATAAATAATAATAATAATAATAATAACTCCTGTGGGGACCAGGTTCCCTAGACTTGTCAGGGAGTTATAAACTACACCCCAGCCTGTAGGGCAGTATCCAGAGCACGGGAAGGAAGGACTTGGGGCAGGACTAAAGAACCACCAGTCAGGGAGAGCTTTGTCTGGGTGGACAGAAGCATTATGCGATCCATGTGCTCAAATAATATTTGTTCCAAGTCATGTCAAGTATGGATTGAAGACCTATGGAGTTAAACTGGAGAAAGGGAAATTTCTCCAAGAAGGCTACTACCATCAAGCTCAGAATTCTCAGGCAGAAACAAACTAAGAGGTACCATTTTGACCTAAGGGTCCTTTTGTGGGACGTTAGCAAAGCAATCTGCCCTTGGGCTAAGAATATTCTGGCTTGAGATTTGTCCAAGAATAGACCCAAGTACTCCAGAAAGTGATGGCTGGAGGCTTTGGAAAGTTGGTTTATCAAGTCAAAAGATTTGGAGTAACTGTTCCTACATCGGAAAACAAGGTCATGGCTGGGGAATCCTTCAGCAAGCAGGTTGTGCCCTGGGTTTGCAAAAAAAAAAGGCAGAAGCACAGCAAGCACAATAGTGCTACAAATTGGAAGTGCTGACCTCCCACAAAACACAGAAACTGTTGATGTCAGAGGCAGATGGCAATGCATCTTGTATGTCTACTGATGCCAGAAATCTCCATTTTTTTTTTGGGAAGCATAGACAGACTTCGATTCCATTTGGAATTCTGGTACACCAAGAAATCCAATAAAAGATTTTAAAGAGTTATTAAATCCATAACCAAAAATGTAACATATTGCTGCAGCTTATCAGTTTTTTTTTGTTTTGTTTTTTGGGATAAAGGTTTCACATAAATACATAAAAGTTGGTAATTGTAAGAACCCCATCAGTGGTAAATGGTTTGTCTCAACACTAAGTTCACACTAGCTTTGAAAGCAGGCGTTTTGAGGGGCATTTTTAACGCTCCTCAAAACTCCTGTGGAAATTATACTATGGGCAGCATACAGTGCTGTTCACATTAGCAAAATATGAAGCTTTAGAGTCGTATCAAAATTGAAGCCTCATGTTGAGTCAGGAGGAGTTGAAGCCTTTCAACGCTTCCCATTCAAGTCTATGGTGACGCTCCTCAAACATCAGGCGTTTGCGGGGCATAATACCATTAGAGTTAAATTATAGGCGTTTGTAGTGTAGTTTTAACTTGTGGTGCACTGAAATGAAAATTGCGGTGCCAAAGCCGATACCAAAAATTGAGAAGGCGTGTGGCCGAAAACAGTACCCAAATGTCTGCGTATGTGGGGTTGGGGAGCCTCCAATTTTTTTTTTTTCTACTTTCATGTATATTTTTTTTAACTTATGATTTTATTGCGATCATAAAAGGGAGCCAATAGTCCGCTATGTGATAGCATATGAGTGACAGGCCATCTCTGTAGAGGGGGGGGGGGAGGAGCAGTGTGTGCAAGGAGGGGGCAGGAGAGGAGCAGTGTACACAGTGAGGTAGCAGTGTATACAGAGAGGCTCCCTCACTATATGTCAGTGTTAGTTTTTTAAATGCAATTGCCAGCTTTTTTTTTCCGCTCTTCACCATAGCTCAGAGAATAAATTAAACTTTGTTTCTTTTAGCTCGGGAAAGAAACGAGAAAGAAACTTTACCAATTAGGTCAGTCACCCAAAAGTGTTTTTATGAGTATAACACTCAAGACACTTCTTAAACCAACATCATCGCGCCAATATAATTAGATGAGTATAAAACATTAGGTGCTGCTATTAATAATACACTGTAAATAATAATAAATGTGATAAACCAAAATAACCACAAATAGCGCAATCCTAAACCAAATCAATAAATAAATTAATATGTCCACCACCTGCATATATTTTTGCACATATATGGTGGTGGACATATTAAATTTATTTGATTTGGTTTAGGATTGCGCTATTTGTGGTTATTTGGTTTATCACATTTATTATTACAAAAAGAAACTTTGTATATTTTAGCACTGGGAAAGTGACAGCCGATTCTCTGAGCTGTAGTGAAAAAACACAAAACCCCGGCAATTGCATTTAACAACCCGCAATGACATATAGTGAGCCAGTCACTGTATATACTGCTCGTCTCCTGCGCCCTTCTCCACCGCCCCCCCCCCCCCCCCCCCCACCCCCTCACATCTGCAGTACACACAGTCCCCTGTATATGGGCAAATTGCCGATAGAGCTATTTTGGAGCTATTTTCAGCCGATATGTTTCAGTGGCAGTGCGTCTCCAGTAACACAACTTAAATCGCACATAGGGCATTTGGGAAGCGTTTTAACACTTGTAGAATGCCCATACTAAAGCTCATTGAACGCCTGTCTAACGCTATAGGGACGTTTTGGATGAGTTAGAAATGTAGTCAAAGTGTGAACAAGTCTTAACTGCCACATTGCAAGAGAGCTTTTTCTGTTGAAAAAAATAGACTTACTGGCAGGATCACTAGATTAAAATAAAGGGGAAAAACAAAAATCTAAGAACTGGTAAGCTGCAATATAATGAAAGTCCGCTCGCTTGACAACTGAGGCACATCACTGGATAGAGAGTGGGCTCAGGTGAGTATCCGAGAAGGTGAAAGAAGAAAAAAAAAAAAAATCCTTCAGACTTTACAATTTATTTATTACAGGTACTTATATTGGGCCGTCAATTTATGTAGCGCTTTACTTACACACACACACACACACACACACACACACACACTTTGCACATTCACATCAGTTACTACCCCAACCCTCAAGGGGTGTACAAGCTAAAGTCCCTAACTTACATTCATACATACACATACTAGGGCCAATTTAGACAGGATCCAATTAACCTGCCAGCATGTCTTTGGAGTGTGGGAGGAAGCCGGAGTACCTGGAGGAAACCCACGCAAGCACAGGGAGAACATGCAAACTCCAAGCAGGTGGTGCTATGGTTGGCATTCGAACCAATGACCCTAGTACTGTCAGATGGAAGTGTTAACCATTTTGCCACTGTGCTGCCCCACCACTTTATGTCCAGTATTAGGTAGGTACCCTCATTTGGTTTTGAAGCTGTGAATAGGTTAAACAGAAACTTTACAACCATTCTCCTAAAGCACTGTCAACTGATAATTTAAAAGAGGGAACACCCTCAATAGGAACAGTAAAGTGTTTACTGAGACCTGAAGTGGCAGGAACCACTACTGGAATAGCCCATTTCTTCTTTAACTCCTTTTCCATAGGATAAACCTCAGCAAAATGTTTATGAGCAGTGTGTACCCTCTCATGGTTGAGCCAGTCCTAGTAAAGTGCACAATTAGTCTGTGCATGTAGAAGAAAAGTATTTTTTGACTTTGCCAGTCTATTGCTGCCCATGGGTTCTTGATTAGGCTGTGGAGAGTAAGGCACAGACTAGTGTAAACTGCATAGGTTAGTATGCCCACAGCAGAGAGCATTTGGTGTGAATGCCTCTGGAAAAAAAAGGCCCTAGAGGTGCCGAACGTTTTCCAAAGAAATCAGACATAGTGGCAGAGAACTTTGATTTTGTCAGACAAGCCACATGTGTGCCTGAGAGGAAGCCAGAGTCATAATAAGCGAAGGTGAAGGACACTGATTCAGGACAAGGGAACATCATCTTCAGTGGTGGTTAGAGTTATCTGTAGGCCATCTGCAATTTGACCCAGCTTCCTTGTGCCTGTGATCAGCCATTGCAGTTAGGTGATCCCCAGTGGTATACGCATGGTTATGGAGTGCAGAATGGATGGGCTTGTGTTCAGAGTCGCTGTAACCCAAGCGCTGACCATGTTCCTGTGGCTGTGTTTCTGCAGGCAAGCAGCAACATGCTGTGTGCATTCTCTGCAGAATATGCAGGTGGGAAGACATTATCCTCCTCAACCTGGACAGGAGGAGGAGGGGGAAAACGCTTGTTCTGAGAAATGTTAGAGGCAAAATGGCCTGGGTTACCACAATAAAGAGACTAACATCCAAATACTTTTGCCTGTAGAACCACAGAGTGTGCAACACACTTCAAACAGTGCTAGTAACATCCAGAAACCAGTGTAAATGTACAAGAAACCATCTCCTACCTCCAATGGATGTTCTGGAGATTCAGATTTTACCCATTACAGTGGGCATACACCCCCCCCCAAAGGGTGTTCAGGGTCTGGGAATTATAAAGATGGACCACGGCCCTGGAATTTCCTAACACCCTGCGGCTAACTACACACACTGCATTATGTGCCAAGGCAAGCACCTAATGCAGGATCCACTGCCCAAAGCAAACATTACAGGCTGACCTCATAGTGGGGTCCAGGTATGGTCACCAAGGTACACACCGCAGCTAACAGATCCAGAAAACTGTTAAATGGCCCAGGGCAGTATCAAGTTAGAAATAATTTAATTTTCAGAGTAAAAATTAAATGTTTAAAAAAAGCTTATTTAAAAGAACAGCTCCGCCAACTAAGGACACCCAAGCAAAAACTGGAGTCTCAGAGTGGTCGGTGTTATATGGTGTGCTCTAGGGGCAGCCCTAGCAAGTTTATTGCCAGTGTTCAATCACATGAAAGTACATAGTGCAAAGAGTAAACCACGCCCTAGTAAATAAGATGGGGGGGAGAAGAGTCTGATGTTCCAAGGAGTGTGAGTATCGCCTTTTGAAGGACAATCTGCCTCAGATCGTGTAATCTGAAACCAACAGGCAATTGGGGAAAAATTTTACCATCTACTAAACATATATAAAAAATAGTACTAAAATGTTGGTTATGCTTGATTAGTTTACATACAAAACAAGACACTTACCTTTCAGATTCATTGTTAGGGTAATACTTGGCTATAGGTGACACTGCGTGGCTTAAGACAACATATGCATAATCAAAGGCCTGTTTCACCTGCATGGCTCCATATGAACTTCTACCCACATCATTACCTAGGAGATGAAAAACAACAAACTCCAGCTTTTAATAATAATGCCATAAGCTTTTAAGAAAGTGTGTGCAGGGAGGAAATGAACTTATTAGGTTAAGTACAGTATTAAAAGCCATGCACCTACCAGGCTGCAATGGATCTTCAATGTACAGCATGGATGGCCTGTACCCATCTAACATACTTTTTTGTACCTCGTCTTTTGCTACATATGAGCCACCATCTTTTATGCGTATTCCAGTTTTTAAGTAGTTAAAATGCCTCCCATAAAGCTCAAAAAACTCTATTAGCAAAACGCCATAGTTGGCATCCGGACTGCAGGCATCTTCTCTTGGATGCAACTAGAGGAAAGAAAAAAACAAAAAGCTTTAGAGAGACTTAAGGATTACAAATGTTTCTAGTAAAATGATTCAAGTCAGGATAACATTTTCAGAAAACACAATAACTAAGGAATAGCTTTTTGTCAACCACAGGCACTAAATAGTTCCAAAATCCTAGCACGAAAAACAAAACAAAAAAAGAAAACCACACATGCACCACATTGACACCTACTTGGATATCTTACCTGCAGAAAACTAACAGCCATTAAAAAGAGGCTGTAGGAGCCTATTCCCCCTGTAAACACTTCATTAAGGTCTCTTTGTAACAGAAACTGCTTTAAAACCAGCACTAAGTATGGAAGGACTGGATATTTCTAAAACACAAAAAAGGAAAAAATGCAATAAGTGTGAAAGTTTAATAAATGATTCAATTCCATTACAGAAAAATATTAGCTACATACAAATCACAGGCAGAGCAAAATCCTTAAGGTAAGCCTGGTCTTGGCCCACAAAAAGGAACATACTGGGATGTGACCTTAGAAGAATGATCAAATATAATTTAGAATCAGTTTGTATTCTTATATGGGTATACACCCTTATAACAAACCTGTTAGCCATTTAAAAGTTGAAGAGTGGATCAACAATGGGTTTTCTCAGGTTCGACACTTCTTGACCTCTAGGTCCTTTACCACATGGGCCCCTCTTCGAGTGTCCCGTGATATCCCTCAATCAGAATTCTTTCACTATCTCTAACTCCAACACTGGGTAACCTCATTGCGTAGGACTTCCACTTATCCATTCTGAAAAACTGCGTTTGAGCATACTTGCCAACACTACCCTGGCTCCCCAGGTCTTATTTCAGCCCTTTATGCTTCTCTGACAAGTCACTCTTCCCATACGGCCCTTACGTATGTCACTCAATGGGAATGGGATCTGGCAATTGAGGTAGATCTAGCGGACTGGAGCAAGGTCTGGTCTTCTGTGGCTAAATACGCATTTAACACGGCTGCCTTGGTGGTGGCTTATAAGGTTCTACTCCATTTGCACTGGGTTCCTGCCTACATCGCTCATGCAAACCCATCCTACAGTGACCGCTGCTTTTGGGGTTGTGGCCAGTGAGGGGCTGTTTTGCATACTTGGTGGACATGCCCTAAATTAGTCTCGTTTTGGTCCCGTGTATTTGGCCTCCTGTTCACTTTATTCCACTTACCCATACGCAGAGAGGACAAGTTTGACTACTACATTGCCCCATATCGGGTTTGTATGCTCATCAGCGGAGGCTTGAGTCCTACCTTTTCTTGTCAGCCAGCAGAATAGCCCAAGCTTGGAAAAAGCCATCTGTGAGAGTTCATATGACTACCCTGATGCTCAATGAGCAGATGTCTAGTATTCGCAATGACTCGCAAGCTAAGTTTCTCGAAGTCTGAGAAACGGTGTCGACGTATGCCTTCCCCACTCTACCTGAGTCAGTTCGTGCCTACTCTGATGTCTGATGGGCAGTCTTGTTTTCCTCCCTCCATCCCCCCCCCCCCCCCCCCCCCTCCTGTCTGTCCTCTCCATCTGCTTCATCTATAGGTTTGCACTCCTTACCTGCTACCCTATAGTTTTGTTTCTTCTACGCTTGGGCTCCTCGCCCGTATCCTCCTGTATCTATAGGAGCTGTGGACAGTGGCTCTGTATGGGTGTTGGTGGTCCTAGGGAGCCCCTGCCACCGTGGGGTGGCCTTTCCTGATCCTCTACCCCTGGAACCCTATGTTGTAATGCTGCTGCTATGTTAGTTACTGACTACTTTATAGTACCTCTGTATTGCCACCTTTGTGTGTGCCTATTCCAGTTATGATTGTCATTGCTTGTCCCTGCTTGGGCTAGCCAATTGCCTGTTTATTACTTGCCAAAACAAAATAAATATTATTGAATGGACGGACTGTAGATACCAGAATGGGAAGGTCACTGGGCACCTCTCTGATTTAGTTTTGTTTCCAAGGAAGTTGACCGGGTACCTTACAGTATGTGTGTAAATAGGCCTGAGCGACTTGACAGCAACCCGAATCACTTCTACCACTGATATTAACAGTATCTTCAAGCACTGCAACTCCCTGCAGTCAGCCAGTTCACATCACTTCAATGATACACCTTGCAACTCAAAATCTAAAGCAGTTGGTACTGGACAACTCTTACTAAAAAAAACAAAAAAAAAAAAAAAAACCTTTTGCCTATTGGAGGCATAAGTACCTTCCTTTTTATTTATGTATTTTTAGAAGATGGTCAAAAAGCTTATCAAAAGAAAGCAAAATGCAGAGTGAGACCACCAATGCTTCACCAAAGGGAACTGGAAATACTCTCCTGAATAAACACATATGGACAGTTTTGTAACAAACCTTCTATGAAAGTCCACTACTCTGTCGCCACCTTAAGTCTAAATAAAGGAAGTACACAGCTCAACAGCACAATTGGGTCCGCTGTGCTGAGTGACAGGAAGAAACCTATAAAGTGAAATCTGAAACACAGATCAGGGCAAAATAAAGGGCGGCAAGGTGTTTCACTGCTAAACCTGAATTCCAGAAACATTTTTTTTAAAAATACCTAGCAGTGGGGTTAACCCAGCAAATCGTAAATTGCCCATTAGAGGATGGTTTATTAAATGAAAAAAGGATCTTACATTGGAGTACAAAATTATTTTCTCTACCATCCATTAAGAGACCCAGTCATATAGTGAAAAACCTAGGGACATCCAAAAGTCTAAAACACTCAACTGTAGAAAAGCGGGCTGTAGCAGGTAAAGGCACTTTATCCTTCAACTCACAGGCTTGCACATGAACCCATCAAATCCACTTCAATAAAGTGGATCTGGATGCCTCTTTTTGGTCTTTCGGAAGCAACAAAAAAAAAAAAAAAAAAAGAAAAAAAAAAAAGAAAAAAAAAAAAGGAATTTCTCTGCTTAAAAGCAGTGACAAAAATATAAAGGCCAATAGCTCTCTCCACAACCAGGTAATGGAGACAAATCTCATTGGGCTGAACCATGTTAAAACACACATAAGGCAGCACAATATCCTAGTTAAAGAAAATGAGGAAACCACTTGGTATAATGGGAGTTATCTCAAACCAACCTTGTCTTTATGCAAGGACAACCCAAGGATCACACCAGTGAAGATAAGTCTTCCACACTCATCAATGACCTTGTGGTAAAAGATTTATGAGCCATCAACGTGGTCAGATTACAGAATCTGAAATACTCATTTTACAGAACCTGTTTTTCAACATACAGGTTGTCTAACCAGCGACTAAGCAGCAGAATTAGAGATGGGTCCTTGGGATAACAGGTCTAGCTGATCTGGTAGAGGCCACAAATCATCAGCCAACATACCAAACTTGAGGCTGTAACTATGTGCACGACCTTACAAAGTATACAAGTTAAAAGTTCCAGAGGAGGAAATGAATAGATCAGGGAATACTGATCCCACAGAGCTATCAGGGCAATTGGGGCGGAGAAGAGTGCTCATTTGACCATCTCCCTATAAATTTAGATCAGCTCATGGGGGGGGAGGTCACTGACAGGGTAGGCAGAGTCACAGATGGAGTGCAGTTTTCTGTGTGAGTGCAGTTTTTGTTGGAGTGCGGAGATGCAGTTGAACACAGCAGTTTAAATAAAGCAGGGTAATTCAAGCAGCAGGAAGATACAACAAGAAGAAACTCTACTGCGCGCTGAATAGACTGCAAGCAAACACCCTGGGAAAACATGTCCTACAAGTCTGAGTCCAACTCCGTGTACCTTTGTAATATGTCCCCTCTACTCCTTTTCATATTACTATCCTGCATTCCCAAAATCTCAGTTCTTTACCCCTCTGCTCCACCCCAAAACTTATACATCTCACCCTTACTGCTACCATCTCCCTACTACTGCTCTCATCACCTCCTGCTGATACTTTACTCTCCTGCTGACCCAAACACAGGGACTGGAAGGCACGTACACTCGTGTACATAACGCTCCCATGTAACTTTCCTGACCCTCCTTCTTCTCTTACCCTCTGGGGATATCTCCCCAAACCCTGGTCCTCCACTATCTCACCCCCACACCAGGCATCCTCTTTCTTCCAGGAATGGCCGCAATCCCCTCAATTTAATATCGGTCCCCGTGCTCCCAAAAACCACCCTCCATTTTTCATGTGCGCTCTGGAATGCCCGCTCTGTCTGTAATAAGCTCACCTCTGTCCATGACCTTTTTGTCTCCCGCTCCCTTAACCTACTAGCGATTACGGAGACCTGGCTTCAAGCAGCAGATTCTGCTTCTCCCGCAGCACTTTCCTATGGAGGCCTCCTCTGGACCCATTCACCCAGACCCAGTGGTCGGAAAGGAGGTGGAGTTGGTTTGCTTCTATCCCCACTCAGCACCTTTCAAGTCCTCCCTAACCCTCCCTCTCTATCCTTCTCTTCTTTTGAGACTCACTGCATTCAGCTGTTTTTTTCCCATTTCTCTGAGGATTGCAGTGATCTATCTGCCTCCTTGACCGGTGTCGCTCTTTCTTGATTATTTCTCCACCTGGCTAACCTACTTTCTCTCCTCTGAACTACCCACTATCATTCTCAGAGATTTTAACATCCCCATTAATGTCAACAACCCGGCTACATCCCAACTCTTCAACCTAACCATCTTTTGCATTAGCACAGTGTATACAGTCCTCCACTCACTCTGATGGGAATACATTAGACCTTGTTTTCTCCCATCATTGCACTCCCTACAACCTCACAAACACCCCCTTTCCTCTCTCTGATCACAATCTCATCACCTTCACAGTGTCCTCCTCGTCTTCAAACACCTATCCCTCCAAGCAGCAAACAATTACCCGCAGAAACCTTCACAACTTAATCCCTTCTTCTTTCCACTCTGCAGCTGACCGCCTCTATGACAGAATCTCTCCCCTGCCCTGCCCTCACCTGGCCACTGCTGTCTACAACAGTTTGCTTCATCCACACTAGACTCACTTGCTCCTCTAACACGAAGCATCAGGCCCTGACTGTTACACCCGTGGCAGACTGATGACACCAGAAATCTTAATTTACAGTCGTGCACTGGAGCGATTGTGGTGTAAAACCAAATCTCACCAAGCATTCATCACCTTATATAAATCTGCTTTCTTAACATACAATTCCTCCCTCCATGCTGCCAAACAAGCCTATTTTGTCACTCTCAAAGGCCTGTCATCCAGTCCTCGTCATCTCTTCTCTACTTTTAACGCTCTACTTTTCCACCTCCACCCAGTACCTCACTCACGAGATTGCAAATCATTTCAAAAACAAGATTGATGCAATTTGTAGGGGCATCGCCACTGCACAGACATCCATCCCACTTAGCATACCTTACACTAATCCTCCCTCAACACTTTCCTTTTTTGACCTTGCTACTACTACCGAAGAGGTCACTAAGGTTTTCTCAGAAGCCCATCTCACTACCTGCCCCCTGGAACCTGTCCCCTCACAACTACTACGGTCACCCTCTTTTTCCATCCTATGCTCTCTCACTCACATCTTCAATCTCTCCCTCTCTAACGGTGCCTTCCCCTCCCCTCTAAAGCATGCACAGATCACTCCAATACTTAAAAAGCCCTCCCTGGACCCCACCGACATGAACAACTTAAGACCCATCTCCCTGCTCCTGTTTACCTCTAAACTCCTAGAACACTTAGTATACAATTGCCTGAGCTCCTACCTCACTGACAACAACCCTTCTTGACCCTTTACAGTCTGGCTTTCGCTCACTACACTCCACTGAAACTGCCCTACTAAAACTTACTAATGATCTACCAACTGCTAAAACCAATGGCCACTACTCCGTACTCTTACTACTTGACCTCTCTGCGGCTTTTGATATGGTTCACTATCCCCTCCTCCTCAAAAAACTCCACTCTCTTGGCCTCCGAGACTCTGCTCTCTCCTGATTCTCCTCCTACCTATCGCAGCGCTCCTTCAGTGTTACCTATAACTCTGCCTCCTCCTCTCCACTTCATCTTTCTGTAGGGGTCCCTCAAGGGTTACGTCCGTGGGCTCCTACTCTTCTCCATCTACACCTCCTCCCTTGGTCACTTGATATAAACTCCCATGGCTTTAAGTACCATCTCTATGCTGATGACACACAAATCTATCTTTCTACCCCTCACCTCTTCAGTCTCCTCTAGCATTACTAACCTACTAAGCGAAATATCAGCATGGATGACACTCCACTTCCTCAAACTCAATCTTTCCAAAACTGAGCTCTTCGTATTCCCTCCAGTCCATGCCCCCTCCCCCAACTTCTCCATCAAAATCAATAACACAACCAAATCAGTCCCTCCACTTAAGTCAGGGTACTAGGTGTAATCCTAGACTCCCATCTGTCCTTTCAGTCCCAAATCCAATCGCTGTCTAAATCTTGTGGACTTCACCTCCGCAACATCTCCAAGATACGCCAGTTCCTAACCTCAAACTACTAAACAACCTATTCACTCCCTGGTTACCTCTCGATTCAGCCACCTTGCTAACCGTTCTGTATTAGCCACCCCTCTCTGCCAATCCCTCCACTGGCTTCCCGTTGCCCAAGGATAAAATTCAAAACATTAACATATAAAGCCGTTTATAACTCTGCCTCAAATTACATCACCGATCTTGTCGCCAAATATCACCCAAACTGTACTCTCCGCTCCTCGCACAACCTCCTGCTCTCTAGCTCCCTTGTCCTCCTCCCATGCTCGTCTCTGGGACTTCTCCAGAGCTTCCCCCATCCTCTGGAATTCTCTACCCCAATTTATCAGACTATTGCCTACTCTGCTCACTTTTAGGTGATCTCTGAAACCCTCTCTCTTCAGGGAAGCCTATCCTGCTGTCAACTAATAATGGAATTTTCTACTCTTCCTACCAGTCCATCCCCCACAGTTACTACCTTTTGTACCACTAGCCCCTCCCTCCTAGATTGTAAGCTCCGAGGAGCAAGGCCCTCCTATCCCTCTTGTATTGAACTGTATTGTTGCTGTATTGTCTCCCATTATACTGTAAAGCGCTGAGCAAACTGTTGGCGCTATATAAATCCTGTATAATAATAATAATAATTTGCCATGTCCACCACTAGGACCCAAATCCTGGAAACAATCCTGTCTAGCATTTTGTTGAACTGAGATACTAACAAGTCCACGCTGGCACTGCTAAACAGACACATACCGTGCAGCACCTCCAAAATGGAGAGACCATTCCCATAGGTGCAGACCTTATCTTTTGCAAAAATGTGCATGCCAGTTTTTATTCAACCTGGAAAAGAGTACTGCAGAAATTGTTGGGACATTAAATTTTGCGCAGGACCAGATAAACTATACTCCTGGTGGCACCCTGATTAATTATGTAAGCCACAAGTGCCCACTGGAAAAAGGTGCAACCAATTCCCTCAGGATTCTCACAACCAGCTGAGCAGCAGGATACCAAAGGTTTTACATAGGTCGGCTGTGTGACCACTTGAAATGCAGAGGAGTGCAGTAACTCCAAAACTGACTGCTGCAGCCCTGGTGTCCCTGAAATCATGGTTGCAGAAAAGGACAGAGCTGTTATGTGGCAGCAGAGGGGCCTCATAGAATACACGTTTTCATTCTTTCACAATGTCAATAGATAAGGCATGTACAAAAGATTTGAGTTTCCTGGACAACTCCTAGCATGCCAGCTGCTAATAGTGCTGATCAAGTTTTGGTTGGGAGCCAGAAATTGAAAAACATTATGGTCACAGCACCCAAACACCAAATATACACAAATCGAGCCCAGGAAAACAATAAAAGGGCAGGCATCCCAACAAAAAAACGTAGCCAAATCTTAATGAGTAAAGACAAACCTAACAGGAGTTTGCCACCTCCTCACACAGCAACCAACCTGCTACATCTGCTGTGGTAAAAACCACACAGAATTCAGGGACTTAACCACCTCCCGCCCGCCATATAGTAACATGATGGACGCAAGTTGGTTCTTTCGTTCTGGAAGGATGTCATATGACGTCCTCCCATTCTAATCGTGCATGCGCAGCTCCCGGAGTGCAGCGATCGGCGGTGCGCTGTGTCCCTCGGACACAGCGGATCACCAATCCACGGAAAGAGCCGAAGATGTCGGCTCGGCCATGTGATCAGCTGTGACCAATCACAGCTGATCACATGTAAACAGGGAAATGCCGGTTATCGACATTTCTCTCCCCACGAGCTGTCATGCTGACAGCTCGTGAGGAGACGAGAGACGATAAATCGGCATTCCTCGGAGGGGACATGTACACAGATCATCAGAGCACTGATGATCAGTGTGCCCTGATGATCTGTGTAGCCCCAGCAGCGCCACCTGTCAGTGTCCATCAGTGCCAGCTCTCAGTGCTCATCAGGGCCCACCCGTGCCCAGGGCCCATCCGTGCCCTTTCAGGGCCCATCCGTGCCACATTTCAGGGCCCATCCGTGCCACATTTCAGGGCCCATCCGTGCCACATTTCAGGGCCCATCCGTGCCACATTTCAGGGCCCATCCGTGCCACATTTCAGGGCCCATCCGTGCCACATTTCAGGGCCCATTTCAGGGTGCCACATTTCAGGGCCCATCAGTGCCACATTTCAGGGCCCATCAGTGCCACATTTCAGGGCCCCATGCCAGTTCCACATTTCAGGGCCCCCATTTCAGTGCCACATTTCAGGGCCCATGCCACATTTCAGCCCATCAGTGCCACATTTCAGGGCCCATCAGTGCCACATTTCAGGGCCCATCAGTGCCACATTTCAGGGCCCATCAGTGCCACATTTCAGGGCCCATCAGTGCCACATTTCAGGGCCCATCAGTGCCACATTTCAGGGCCCATCAGTGCCACATTTCAGGGCCCATCAGTGCCACATTTCAGGGCCCATCAGTGCCAGCTGCTTTTCAGGGCCCATCAGTGCCCATTTCAGTGCCCATCAGTGCCACATTTATCAGTGCCATCTGAGCTGCTTTTTCAGTGTGCCATCAGTGCCATGAGTGCCGCCTTCAGTGCCACCTAACAGTGCCAGTCAGTGCCATGTGCTGCCTTTCAGTGCCCATCAGTGATGCCTGTCAATGCCCATCAGTGCCACCTACCAGTGCCTCCTCATCAGTGTCCATCAGTGCAGCCTATCAGTGCCCATCAGTGCAGCTTCATTAGCACACATCAGTGAAGGAGAAAAATCACTTATTTACAAAATTGTATAACAAAAACTAAGAAAAAACTTTTTTTTTTTTCAAAATTTTCAGTGGTTTTTGGTTTAAGAAAACATAAAAAACCTCGAGGTGATTAAAAACCACCAAAATAAAGCTCTGTCACAAAAAAAAAAATTATAAAAATTTCATATGGGTACAGTGTTGCATGACCACGCAATTGTCAAAGTGCAACAGCGCTGAAAGCTGGAAATTGGCCTGGGCAGGAAGGGGGTATAAGTGCCCTGTAGGGTAGTGGTTAAAGAAAGAAAAAAAACAATCCCCCAATACAGAAAAACCTCCATTAATCATTCACATAAAAGTGAACTGCCACAGCTCTGGACTCAAGAGCTCTAAAAGAAATCCCCCAGATAAACTGGCCTGACCCTGAATAGTGGAGTCCAGTGCCTACTGAAAAACAGATGGACTGTCACTGCCAATTCATTGCAGAAAGAACTTTGCAGCACAGTCAACTGTACACATTCACAAAATGGAGTCTTCAGAGAGGGGTCAGGTGAACTATCACAGCTCAGGTCCTGACACTCAGTAAAAAGTCCCCAGATAAACTGGCCTTACCTGAGGAGCGGAATCCTATGACTCTAGAACACAGAAAGAAGGGCATTCCTGACGATAGGACTAGTGGAGAGAGAACACCAGTATACAAACTGGAAAAGTTTATGCTTGATAACTAACTGGAGAGACCTCTAGGATTTCTAATATCAGGCATGTTGATAGTAGATAATCTAATTCAAGAGAAAAATCTAGGAGAGGAAGCAGACATCCATTCTCCTGAAAACAGTAAATGAGGCATGATTAAACGGAAACAAACCCTGCTGCTATTGTAACTAAGCAGGCAGTGCAGAGGTTTATCGCTCTTGTGATTTCAGGCTTCAAGGCTCTCCTTGCCCAGTCTGCAGCTCCCCCATTGCAATCAAAGATCTTCAGAGGGCGCTGTAGCTGCAGAGTATAAAAAGTACTCAGATGGAAGGACATTTACAGTGGATATAAAATAATCTACACGTCCTTGTTAAAATGTCAGGTTTCTATGATGTAAAAAATTAAACAAAGATAAATCATTTCAGAACTTTTTCCATCTTTAATGTGATCTATAAACTGTACAACTCAGTTGAACAACAAACTGACATCTTTTAGGTGGAGGGAAGTAAAAATAAAAAAAACTAAAATAATATGGTTGCATAAGTGTGCACACCCTTAAACACTTTGTTGAAGCACCTTTTGATTTTATTCCAGCACTCAGTCTTTTTGGGGTAAGAGTCTATGAGCATGGTACATCTGGACTTGGCAATATTTGCCCACTCTTCCTTGCTAAAACACTCCAAATCTGTCAAAATGCGAGGGCATCTCCTGTGCACAGCCCTCTTCAGATCATCCCACAGATTTTATATCAGATTCAGGTCTGGGCTCTGGCTGGGCCATTTCAAAACTTTAATCTTCTTCTGGTGAAGCCATTCCTTTGTTGATTTGGATGTATGCTTTGGGTCGTTGCCATGCTGAAAGATGAAGTTCCTCTTCACGTTTAGCTTTCTAGCAGAAACTTGAAGGTTTTGTGCCAATATTGACTGGTATTTGGAACTGTTCATAGTTCCTTCTACCGTGACTAAGGCCCCAGTTCCAGCTGAAGAAAAACAGCCCCAAAAGCATGATGCTGCCACCACCATGCTTCCCTGTAGGTATGGTGTTCTTTTGGTGATGTGCAGTGTTTTTGCACCAAAAATGTATATCTTTTGGAATTATGGCCAAAAAGTTCAACCTTGGTTTCATCAGACCAAAACAATTTTCCCACATGCTTTTGGGAGACTTCAGATGTGTTTTTTTGCAAAATTTAGCCGTACTTGGATGCTTTTCTTTGGAAGAAAAGGCTTCCATCTTCCCACTCTACCTCATAGCCCAGACATATGAGGAATACAGGAGATTGTTGTCTCATGTACCACACAGCCAGTACTTGCCAGATATTTCTGCAGCTCCTTTAATGTTGCTGTAGACCTCTTGGCAGCCTTCCACACTAGTTTTCTTCTCGTCTTTTCATCAATTTTGGAGGGACGTCCAGTTTTTGGTAATTTCACTGTTGTACCATATTTTCTTCACTTGATGATGACTGTCTTCACTGTGTTCTATGGTATATCTAATGCCTTGGAAATCCTTTGGTACCCTTCTCCTGACTGATACTTTTTAACGAGATCCCTCGGATGCTTTGGAACATCTCTGCAGTCCATGGCTTTTTCTGTAGGATGCAACTAGGAAAATGTCAGGAAAAACCTACTAGAACAGCTGAACCTTATTAGGTGTTAGAGGCACTTTAAATGATGGAGTGTGTGGACTTCTATTTAACATGATTCTGAATGTGCTTTCTTAATTCTGAACAACGCTACATCCCCAGTTATAAGAGGGTGTGCACACTTGTGCAACCACATTATTTTAGTTTTTTTTTATGTGTACTTCCACCTCACCCCCCCCCAAAAGATTTCAGTTTTTTTTTCAACTGAGTTGTACAGTTTATAGGTCACATTAAAAAGGTGGAAAAAGTTCTGAAATGATTTATCTTTGTCTCATTTTTTGTACATCACAGAAACCTGACATTTTAACAGGGGTGTGTAGACATTTTTATCCACTGCATGTACAGATGGGGAGAAGGATTGGATTAAACAAATGATTTCTGCAAATGGAGGGGTCTTCTAAAGAGCAGAAGTTGCCATGGTATTTGCTGTCCTTGGAGGGAAATAAAATTGCACATCTATTTTGAACAACATGTTTGAGGCTCATTAATTCATATGTTTACATGTCTAATAAAAAAAAAAAAACAAAATCATAAAAATGAAAAAAAAATGAAAAATGTTTTCAGCTACCAATAATTGCAAGCATATCTAAAACTGTTAAAGACTATACCAACCTTAATAAAATCCCTGATAAGCTGAGCTGCTTTAACCCCATTCTGAACGTTAAAACTTATGTCTACTTTGACTTCAGTATATGAATCCGTCAGTTTAATAATCGGTACCTAAAAAGAAAAAAAAAAAGGAAAAAAAAACAGTAAAAATCAAAAAGGAAGGAGGAAGCAAGGGGGGGAGTAAAAGAAACAAATTTAAACACATTCATAAATAGCATTATCAAGGCTACAGTAGCACAGGAAGGGAAATTATTATTATTTAATAAAAAGAACAGTGCAGTAATTCACTTATCGGTATAGTAAAACCATATTGGTTGCTATGGGACACTGCACTTTGCACATAATCATTTCCCAAGGGAGGGGTCTCAGTACAGTTGCAGAAAATTCGCTTGGCAGTGCAGCTAGGAACACAAATGTCTCCCCACATCGATGGCATGTGTTGGGCATCACAACATTGCTTGCAGCCAAGTGCAGATAATTGACAGACTTTTCCATCTGCCACACAATACAGAATCACAGGCAATTGAGAATGGTGCGTTTATAAGTTTTATTAGTTATGTGGCTTACAGCACATAGTCATAAGGCTATAAAATACTTCAGCGTAAATAATGTTGGCAAGACTCTAGAAACATTATAGCTGCTCCAGTATGACAGAGCTTGGCACAAAATAGGCTTAGCAAATCTGGAGGATTGTTTGCTTATGCACACACGAAAAAAAAAAAAGGTAATGTGGCCACATTGAAATTAACATATAAACTCTAGTAATATAAACTCTAATAACATGGGTGACACTGGCACACAGTTCATCAAAGACAGTCATAGGTTTATTGCAGGCAGTGTTACATTGTCTCTCTTCATATTCTCAAAGCCATGTATACATTACTCTAAACTTGTATTTGCAAACATTGCCTGTAGCTCTCTGTTAGTTGTAACTGTGTCATGTCAACACACCATATAGCGGCATGATGTGGTGTATACAATTAAAGTGGTGGTTTAAAAGAAAAAAAAAAAAAAAAAAAAAAAAAGGGGGGGGGGGGGGGGGGGGGCTGCAGGTTTAGGTCATAATGTACTGGCATAACCCAGTCTTCCTCATGGGTTTGTGGGCTCCAGCAAGTTTTTAAGATGTTCACTGTAGCTACAGGTAAGCCTTATTATAGACTAAAGTCACTACCATTCTAAAGAATTTTGGGGTGGGGGAGGAATGTGAACAGTGCATCACATTGTGGTGTAGAGCACTTCTGACTGTCTCCTGAAGTGTGTGCTGAGAACAAACAAGGTTATTCTTTTCCATTGGCATGCTTGTCTTGCAATCTACAGACAGAAAAGGATCCTAAAATGGTGTGCATTTATGGGCACACTTACGGTCACCTGTGTATGGAGGAGTAATTGAAAGTGAAGGAAGACCATTAAGGGGCTGTGGAACCTGACTAACCTGGAGATTGTGTGCAGGATCCGTGGACATCCGAAAAGCATGTTGACCCTTGAGGGTCGCAGCAGGAAGGTGAGCGGGCATGCCTGCTATTTAAGATTTACATTCGCCGCTTGCACCTATATACTTGTTAAAAATAATGATGCTGGTTTATTATGGACATTGGCGATTGTACTTGCTTCAACAGTAAATGTGGGTTATGACACTGATCACTTGTTGGTATAGTTATATATCCCTATACAGGGACCCACTTCATATATCTCACTCTAATATTTTGGGTTGGTCCCATTGGGGGGACAGGTATCGTCACTTATTAAGGTTCCAAATTGGACCATAATATTACACTATTTACCACCTATAAGTCACCCAATAGATCCTGTCAGATCTAACAATAATAGGATTTAGGTGTCCGTTTGTGAACCAGCGGTAATAGATCGCTGCTCAGTTCTCCGGCATTCTCAGAGAACACAGTTCTCCTGTGAATGCAGTTTATGAAGCAGTTCTCCGAACGAAGGGAGAACGGTCTCCAAACTCTGAAAAACGGCTCATTTTACTATAATCTCTCGAGATTATAGTAAAAGATCAGTTTACTAAACAGAGGTAAACTATCTCTGCTTAGTTTTCGGTCCCTCTGATTCTCCAGCTCTGGGCTGGAGAATCTGGAGGGAGAACACAGATCTCCAGAGAAGGGCTGACATGATCTCCTGAGTGTCATAAACTGTGAATGACCAGAGAATAGCTGAGATCCGTTGAATCGCAGCTATTCACTGTGTCATAAAAGGACACCTTAATCTGCTATTGTTTATATTGCCATTTATATTTTGTTTTACATATATTTCTATATATATTTTCAATTAAGGTGGTCACAACCCATTTTCCTTTGTAGATTTATGATATAGCGCTACACCATTTTCCATTATAGTGCATCACATTGAACATATTGCACACCAGCTGGTGCATGTTACACAGACCATAAAGCACTCCCACTGGTGTTAAGGGGTCCTAAATGTATTGTGAGATTTGTGTCAACAGTTTACAATTAGTGGAAAAATCCTGTTAGACTGCAGACAGCCACGATCTTTACAAATACATCTTGCCCTTGCTTCAAATGTTGCTGAGCACATTATACTTGTCCTCCAGCCAAGCCATTTCAAGTGACCATCTTGCAGACATATAACAGGGCAGTCTCTCACATATCCACACATATTGATGCTGATTTACTCAAAGATTAGAGAAATCTCACAGTACAACAACAACAACATGTAGAGATACTGCATACCTCAGTTAATCTAACTTAGGACCAGACGTACTCTGCTCACTTATGTCAAAGGACACTCTTCATGCAATGGTTGCAGAAGTTCGACATAGGGGATACATGTTCTACATGGATCTGATCCATGCATTGAACTAGGAGTTGCTTGATACTACAGCTACAGTCAGGTCCATAAATATTGGGACATCGACACAATTCTAACATTTTTGGCTCTATACACCACCACAATGGATTTGAAATTAAATGAACAAGATGTGCTTTAACTGCAGACTGTCAGCTGTAATTTTAGGGTATTTACATCCAAATCAGGTGAACGGTGTAGGAATTACAACAGTTTGTATATGTGCCTCCCACTTGTTAAGGGACCAAAAGTAATGGGACAGAATAATAATCATAAATCAAACTTTCACTTTTTAATACTTGGTTGCAAATCCTTTGCAGTCAATTACAGCCTGAAGTCTGGAACGCATAGACATCACTAGACGCTGGGTTTCATCCCTGGTGATGCTCTGCCAGGCCTCTACTGCAACGGTCTTCAGTTCCTGCTTGTTCTTGGGGCATTTTCCCTTCAGTTTTGTCTTCAGCAAGTGAAATGCATGCTCAAATCGGATTCAGGTCAGGTGATTGACTTGGCCATTGCATAACATTCCACTTCTTTTCTTTAAAAAACTCTTTGGTTGCTTTTGCAGTATGCTTTGGGTCATTGTCCATCTGCACTGTGAAGCGGCGTCCAATGAGTTCTGAAGCATTTGGCTGAATATGAGCAGATAATATTGCCCGAAACACTTCAGAATTCATCCTGCTGCTTTTGTCAGCAGTCACATCATCAATAAATACAAGAGAACCAGTTCCATTGGCAGCCATACATGCCCACGCCATGGCACTACTACCACCATGCTTCACTGATGAAGTGGTATGCTTAGGATCATGGGCAGTTCCTTTCCTTCTCCATACTCTTCTCTTCCCATCACTCTGGTACAAGTTGATCTTGGTCTCATCTGTCCATAGGATGTTGTTACAGAACTGTGAAGGCTTTTTTAGATGTCGTTTGGCAAACTCTAATCTGGCCTTCCTGTTTTTGAGGCTCACCAATGGTTTACATCTTGTGGTGAACCCTCTGTATTCACTCTGGTGAAGTCTTCTCTTGATTGTTGACTTTGACACACATACACCTACCTCCTGGAGAGTGTTCTTGATCTGGCCAACTGTTGTTAAGGGTGTTTTCTTCACCAGGGAAAGAATTCTTTGGTCATCCACCACAGTTGTTTTCCGTGGTCTTCCGGGTCTTTTGGTGTTGCTGAGCTCACCGGTGCGTTCCTTCTTTTTAAGAATGTTCCAAACTGTTGTTTTGGCCACGCCTAATGTTTTTGCTCTCTCTCTGATGGGTTTGTTTTGTTTTTTCAGCCTAATGATGGCTTGTTTCACTGATAGTGACAGCTCTTTGGATCTCATCTTGAGAGTTGACAGCAACAGATTCCAAATGCAAATAGCACATTTGAAATGAACTCTGGACCTTTTATCTGCTCATTGTAATTGGGATAAGGAAATAACACACACCTGGCCATGGAACAGCTGAGAAGCCAATTGTCCCATTACTTTTGGTCCCTTAACAAGTGGGAGGCACATATGCAAACTGTTGTAATTCCTACACCGTTCACCTGATTTGGATGTAAATACCCTCAAATTAAAGCTGACAGTCTGCAGTTAAAGCACATCTTGTTCCTTTCATTTCAAATCCATTCTGGTGGTGTATAGAGCCAAAAATGTTAGAATTGTGTCGATGTCCCAATATTTATGGACCTGACTGTATATTGCTACACAGGGCCTAGGTGTCACAATGTAATCTTTGATGTTTCATTGATGTGCCCAAGAGGTGTGCTTTTAGGAGCCCTTCCTTTTTTTTACCACCAGAAGCACAAAGCCCCTTGGTGATTATAGTGCATTTTTTTTGCTTTGTTTCTGGAGCCTCTAAAGCAGGGGTCTCCAAACTGTGGCCCGTGGGCCGAATGCAGCCCTTTGCTCACCTTTTTCTGGCCCTTGGGGCACTATTCCTCCCATTAACACCAACAAGAAGGTAACATTCCTTCCAATGACATCAACAGTGGAGAGCCATTTCTCTCACTGACATCAATGAGGCATTTTTTCCTTCCAATGACACCAGTGATTGGAACATTTCCTCCCACAGCACCAGCAATGGGGCAGAATTCCTCCCACTAATAAACATTTAGGCTCTATTGTCCTCAGTGATACCAATGATGGCACACTATTCCTCTCACTAATATCAATCATAGGGCACTATTCCTTCACCAAGCCGGAGACATTGTTTACTCCCTCTGACACGTGGACATTTTTTTTTTTTTAGTCCCACTGGCCACAGTCCGGCTCCTGTAAAGAACAGTAAACTGGCCC